GGGGGCCTCTCGGAGACCCCCCTGCCATCAATTATGCCTCTGAAGCACTATCGGCGGTGGGGGGGACCTCCGAGATTCCTCCCATGGAGGCGGTGAAGGCCTCTGGAGATCCCCCCCCCACTGACGCAGGCTTTCCTGGGGTGGACCAGGCCTACCAGGGGAGGGCTTCCCCCAGTAGGCCTGGTCCACTGCGCGGGAAAGCCTGGTAGACCGGGCCTACCAGGAGAGGGCTTCCCCCGGTAGGCCCGGTCTACTCCCTGGGAAAGCCTGGAGAGTACACTGGGCCTACCGGGGGAGGTTCTCCCCTGGTAGGCCTGATCTACCAGGCTTTCCCAGGCAGTAGACCGGGCCTACCGGGGGAAGCCCGGGAAAGCCTGATAGAAGCATCTGATTTTCACAACAGGAGCTTTTCACACCTTCTCTTGTTTGCAAATTCGTTTCCTTTGTTTGAAACCTAAAGATAGGCATTGTTTTGGAAGTCTGAAACAAAGGTTAGCCTAAATCACATAGCTGGAATGTGATTCCAGTTCCCAGTGATGGGTGTATTACCTGTAACACATTCAACACATACTTTTGTTGATAAAGAAATTAGATTTCTGGAGTATGATGTGTGTTGTCTGAAGCACTCATTCTGTATATAGTTTGACTATGGATATACTTTTTGTCCATATAGGATCTTTGTGCCCCAAACACAGAAATAATTTAATTCTGTCTTCCCAGGATGCTCTTGTTTTCTTACTTAGTTTTCAGAATTGGATTAGCTTAATTCTGTAGCCCACGATTTTGTAAGTCTCCTGCCAGTAGTGTTTCAAAGGATGCATTTGGCATCACCGTTCTTTTATTCAGCAAAGGGTTACTCATGCTTCCTACCTATGAGCAGAGTGTGGTGTATAGCCAGAAGCTGAGCCTGAAGCGGCTTCCTGGCAGTCTAGACAGGTTCATACTTATTTTTCTTTTACAGTTTTTGCAAAGTTTGTACAGAGCCAACCAAGATTTAGCTGTAGAATTTTTGTTTACATCATAGGACTCTCTCCTTAAAGTCCACTTAAATCCAGAACTTGGGAAAAAATTATCTCTCTGAATACAGCTCCAAAAATCCCACAGCCAGCATGGCTATAGACTATGTTGGGTAGAGGATTCATAAAGCTGAAGTCCAGAAGAGTAACTTTTCCAAGCTACATTGCTGGCTATCTGCCAAGCTAAGCTCACCAAATGGACAGTATAGCCTTCCACCATCTCAGCCCATGGCAGCCAACAAAAGCAGATGGTTTACCTACGGCTGGGGACCTTACCACAGTTTGATAAATCTCATGTTTCAGTAATAACAAAGAACATGCCTAAGAATATTCTGATTATGCTTTCCTGTCACCAGCAAGAAGGAACACAAAGCAGTAGATGTCAGATTAGATCTTATGTTAAAAGGTTTGGGGTGTGTGGCCATACTGGAGAGTTCTAGGACCACTGAGGCTATGCATGCAGCACACATGCTGTATGTCCCTTGCTCTCCCCACTGGCCTAATTTTAAACAATAAGAACAAGCCCTTAAGCAGCAGTTCTCAAACTTCGGTAAACCAGATGTTCTCAAACTGCAATTCCCAGAAAACCTGGCCAGTGCAGCTGGTGGCGAAGGCTTCCAAGAATTGCAGTGCAAGAACACCTGAGGTTGGCAACCACTGCCCTAAACTCTTAAAACTCTTTTCTGGAACCTTTGCTACTTCTGAACCTGTTGGTTGCTCTTTTCTCCACCAATGGGCACCTTTCTCGTGTGTCACAGTACAGTTTCCAGGCTAGCATCCCAAGTAGTCATGCTGGCTAAGAATTATGGGGATTGTAGTACATCTGAAGGGCACCAGATTAGGGAAGAATGGTTTGTAAGCAATCAGACACATACTTGATGTGCCTGAAGCATCCAGAATATTGTTGATATTCAGTAGCATATATGGAAAAAAAATCTCTTTGTAACAACGCTTTGATCATTTTTAAGCAAACATAACTTTCATTCTAAGAATATATCAGGAGCGCACAACCCATAGGCCACATGTTGTCTTCTTTCTTGCCTGTATTTGAATGCACCCCTCCAGAGGTGCCCCTCCCTTACCCACCAATCCCATCATCATGCCTGCCAAATTCCATCATCACCCAATTCACTCTTTCCTTCTTGCTGTTCTTGCTAGTGGTACAGAAAGGTTCTCTGCTGCTTCTTCTAGAGACCTTAAAACAGACGGCATTTTCCATGCTGGACAGAGTGATCTGTATCAGGACCATTGAGGCAGGAAGTGTAGAGATGTTTCTCCACTCTTACTCTCATGAAGAAAGAAGATTGATTGCACACGTGTCTGTGAGTGAACATGTGCGTAACCATGCATGCATGTATTTGCACCTGTAGCACCCAACAGTCTGCATGGAGCAGTTTGCATTTTTCTGCGTGGGGGGGGGAGTTTGGCTGAAAAACATGTGCCTCCTCTAGGTGCTGGAGGGAGGAAAGGTTTGCCATGTTTTGAGTAAGGGGCAACATTCTGCCCCTATGTTCCTCAAATAGAGTGTGCGGCATATAAATTCAATAAATAAATAAATAAATAAATAGCCCTTCAAATGCCTGAGACAAGAGGTGTGTGATGCTCACATTGCTGAAAATCATCTACCCTTGGATCAAAAGAAAAATAATTGCAAGGGGCCATAAAAACTGCTTATATGAAATTTTGCATGGTATAAAAAACTACAGGAGGAAACGTTTCTCTCTCTCTCTCTCTCTCTTGCAAAACACTAAAATCTGGAGTCGTTTCCTGGAAATTGATTGGCAGTACATTGAGGACAAGCCAAAGAAATGACTTCCTTATGCAATGCATAATTAACTTATGGAATTCTGTTTATATTATTAAAATAACAGAAATACACTAGTCCGTTGGTGAAAGAAACAGAGGCAGTGTCATGAAAATGGCAACAAGAAAGTAGTACAAACACAAGCCTTAATCAGCAGAAACATATGCAAAGGTATTCATGTGCATAGGACTGATAAGTGTTCAACAGGATGTGATGCCATGAACATTGGTCTCTGCCAATTTATGGCATCATTTGCATACAACCTTCTCTCTCTCTCTCTCTCTCTCATTTTACCCTCAAACTTGGATTGCAGATCTGATTCACTGGCCCGTATGCCGATGACTCTTTTATCCGCAAGCCATTTGCGCGCCGTACTGACTCGACACTTTCATTCCCAACAGTTACAGTCTGTGCCTGTTCCCAGATTTGCCAGAAAGGATAGCAGCAGCGAGAATGGTAATGGTGCAATGGATATATGAAACAAAAGAAAACAAAAGAAAACAAAACAAAAGAATGGCACTGTTAGAGAAGAATATCAGGATGAACTGTGGAAAGCACTTCAGAAAGAAACCAATTATAATTGACAATGAGAATCAAACTCGGGCAAAGAATAACTGGAAGAATATGGTTAGGATGGTTTACTATGTGTTTTGTGTGTGTGTGTGTGTATGGTTCCTTTCAAAAACAATGTATAATGAGTAATATTTTATCTGCAGAATGTCAAGCAAGAAACAAGTTTCAGATTTCTAGATCAACACGCATATTGAAAAACAGTAATAAAAAAAAGAGAGAAAAAACACACCACTGTAGGTGTTGCGCTACAAACAGTGGTGGACACCTTATTAGCGAAAGCGGAGCCTAAGGCTATCCATCACCTCAAAATGATAATAAAGCTAATTTAAAAAATTGGACAAGGAAATAAGAAAGACTGGTGTTTATAATACATTTAAATTAAAAATGAAATGAATATTCATTGCAAGCCTAAAATGCAATGTAATTGACTGGAAAGACCCTTCTTAATATTCTCTCTCTCTCTCTAATCTATCATATTTTTGCCCCACCTTTCTCTTTAAAAGAACTCAAGGCTGCTTACATAATTAAAAGGCAATATTTAAAGCTAAAAACAGTGAGTGTACAACAGCGAGTGTTTTGCAAATGTGAAAAGTCTCTTGATTTTGCATGGTTAATTATCAATTCCTTTCATTAAGTCAAAATGTGAGGAAAGAAAGACATGGCAATCACATGGTATGTGTACTGAATGGAAGAAATAAATAGTGGACCCGCTGAAACTAAAGTACTGTACCTTGTTCTGCCTCCTCTGCCTTCTCCGGAGCCTCAGAAATTCCTTGTGTTGCCTTGACACAAAATTCACTGCTGCATATTCAAGCAAGGCAGCAAACACAAAAAGAAGACATACAGCCATCCAAATGTCAATAGCTTTTACATAAGAGACCTGCAAGACAGAGGAAGAAGGAAATAAAAATCATGTCATCTTGTAGTGAGCAGTGACAGATCTGTGTGAGGTGAAGGCAGGAAACATCTACAGAAATGTGGTTCCCTCTGCATCAGCAAGAACCCAGGAACCCTAAACTTTACAGGGCTAAAAAGATCCGGGTCTTTTTAAGACACTGGGAGGCCTGGGGCAGAGAAAACTCATTTGCAAAATGACAAAGCGCATTCAGAATATGTTAAAAGTTATCTTTCCCCCACTGCTTTTCTTGTGTTATTTATTTGGAGATGAGATTATTGAAAGACTGTTCTTTCAGAGAACCCATACTACAGGGAGAAGAGATACTGGAAACAAGTCTGGAATGTACCTTCGTGGCACATAACTTATTTTAAAAATGGGCTGATTTGAAGAGTGTTCTTTCTTCTTCACAATTAGAAATTGTGAGGGAGATACTGTATGGTGACATTTGGAAAAGCTTCAGCCAAGTCCTTACTATAAGTTATCTTCAAACTAGTAACAAGGTTTTATAGTTTGTATAAATAAATAGTTGAAATAATTAACTGGAGCATATAAATGTATGCAAAGAAATACATTATAGTTTTAAATTATTGTTTCACTATTTCTGTACAATGTTTATTATTATTTGCCTTGTGTACAGTAGGACTCCTGTATCTGCAGTTTTACTTGCCTCCAGTTTGCTGCAGCCTTATCTACAACATACATGGGGGCCTCCTTGAAGCCTTTGTCCCACACCTTTTATATATAGGATTCTCTCATATCCCTCGTTTCAAGCATCCACGGTAGATAGTGGAAACAATCCCCCACTGATATGGGGATCCTACTGCATATATGTACATACACAATATATAGAAAAATGTAAAAGCCTGACAGTGACTGGGCTGAGAATAGGTTGCTATTTGAGATGGGCATGAATCAGAAAAATGGTGATTTGATTTGATTAGTGATTCACCAAGGTCAATGAATCCTGAATTACGAATTTGTGAATTTGATTTGATTATGAATTCATTTTTTAATTTCAAAACCCTATAACATGCCCCCCCAGCACCTAGAAACACCAGATGAATCCTGAATTACGAATTTGTGGATTTGATTTGATTATGCATTTTTTATTTCAAAATCCTATAACATGCCCCCCAGCACCTAGAGACACCAAGTTCACAGAGAAGCTTCTCCTGACTCTCCTCTATAAGCCCTGCACATTTGGTGAAGTTTGGGTTTCAGATGCCTGAGTTATACATTCACAAGGAGCCTCCTCCAGAACTCCCCCCCACAGGCACCCAGAGACACCAAAATCACAGAGAAGCTTCTACTGATTCTACTCTATAACCCTCCACGTTTGGTGAAGATTGGGTTTCAGACATCCAAGTTATATACCTACAAAGTGGGTCCTCCCAAGAAAGTGTTCTTCAGCAGCTGGCTTGGGGCCAGGAAAGTGGTCTTCAGCAGCTGGCTTGGGGAAACTCAATCTTCAGGAAGCTTGGAGAGATTGTAGAGTCAAGGAAAGCTTCTCTTCTGAAGGGATGTCTTTAAGTGCCAGAGGGAGTGCTCTATTGTAGGTGTATAATTCAGATATCTGAAACCCAGTCTTGTTGGAATTGTAGAGTTACAGGAAGCTTCAATTTTGGTGTCTTTAGGAGCTTGGGGGGGGATATTTTTTAGCTAAACAAATCGATGAATCAAAAATTGCTAAAAAAAATCGTGATTTGTATTCATATTAATACAAATCAATTAATTAGTGATTTTTGAACTCATTTGGTGATTCATTTTTCAATTCGTGCCCATCTTTAGTTGCTACTATTAACATTGCTTCTGGCAGCCACCATTTTGCTAATGCTGACGTAATGAAAGGATGCTGCAACCATCAGTTTGTTTATACTTTTTCCTTTAGTTTTATGGAGCTGAAAGAAAAGAGTAGGCAACAAAACAGCAACACTAGTGTTGATGTATTCCCCTCCATATGTGGAGACCTCCCTCCTACATGAGGCTTTGGGAAATTGCTTCCTACACCCCCAGGTAAATAGAAGTCTGATGGATTTAGAGGGCATTAGGCTGACAAAACTGGCTTAGTCCAACATAAATATCATTTGGTGTTACCTAAAAGTGACTGGGATTTTTGTGTGTGTGTGAAGGAGGCAATTTCTGTCTTCTCCCCTCAGAAGTGAACGAAATATTACAGAGCACTTCCAGCTGTAAATACAAAAGTTATGGTGGCATCTCTAATACAGCTATATTTGGCATTCTTTGTGAGTCATAAATATATTTTATAATTCCTTCACAGAATTTACAGGGTTTCCCCCCCCCCTTCAAACTGACATACCCATCCACTTTATTAGGAGCTCATGAAACACCTTCCTGTCGGAAGAGAAGTCAGAAGGAGCAGCATTTTTGACAGAGTAAATCGTCTCCGGATGTAAAAAAAGGTGCTGAGGGCAAAATAATAAAGGAAGCCCTGACTTAGCTTTTCTGCCACTTACAGTTTCAGTTCCTGTGCCAGTTGGATGATTCTAACTTGATTGCCTTGCCTCAAAGAATGGGGAAACCAAATAATCACAATTGGCTGTGGAAACAGATATCCCTGCTTTGCAGTGGTTTATTGCCTTAAAGCTGTTTCAGATGAAGTTTTTATCTCACGATTGCCCTGCTTCCTTCATTGAATCCTACAAGGGCTTTACACAAAATCCTCAGCCACTTGTAATCCTCCCTTGTTTTTCCACCACCTTCCTGAGTGGGGGAAAATCAGTCAAGGAGAAAAAAGATAGAAGAGCTGCACATGAGCTTCTTATTACTAGTATGAGGAAGGCTTCTATCTAGAAGTGCCTTAAGGCTGCAATCCTGCACTCATTCATCTTCGTTTAAGGCTCAATGAACTCGGCAAAGCTTACTTCTGAATAGGCAGGCACAGCATTGATTGTAACTGTGTCATTGGACATAGGTGCTTCATTTATCTCGTTGTGTGACAAAGAAGAAGCACTGTTATTGTGTCATGTCCCATCAAGACATAGTTGACTTACAACAACCCTAACTGGGTTTTCAGAGTAAGTGAGGTCTTTATAAGGAATGGTTTTACCACTGCCCTCTCCTCCCCAATGAGTCCTAGCCCATCACTCTAGTCACTACTCACTGCCCTCTCCTCCCGAATGAGTTTCAATGGCCCAGGTCTCCTGAGTCCTAGCCCATCACTCTAGTCACTACTCCACCCTGGGGACCTCAAGGGAGATCAACAGATAGAGAGCAGTACTTGCCCAAAACATAAGACTTTCAGAATTGTGGATGCAAAATCTAGCTATTAATATTCTAGCACCTGTCATAAAATTAGTGATTAATTCTTTCGACTGATGGTCGACAAGAATGATATTAAAATTGAAGATTGGTATTGTGAAGTATGGGACATTGCATTAAATGATAAATTGACTATGGAACTTAAAATAAAAAGGGGGGAAATAAGTTGTAACAATTTCTATCATATTTGGGGTAAATTTGTGGAATTTGTGTTAGTGAAAGGAAGGGGGAAAGCCTCTAAAGAATACTCAATACAATTTTGGAGAGGTAATATGTAAAAAAAAATTATTATAGTAAATAGAGTCCCGTGGGTATGGGGTGCACGTTAGAATTTAGTTTATAATAAGCACTATTACTTGTATTTTTTTTTGTATTTTTGATGTTACGTATGTGTTTTTTTTCCTGTATTTTTTGTATAAAATAAAATTTAAAAAAAAAGAATTGTGGATGCATGTGCACACATATCCTATTTGTTTTAACCAGGCTGTGAGTCCTGCAACCTTCAGTGCTGGTGGGAGAAGATTAACTGGGGATACTATGTGCCATGCAGATAATCTGTTCTAGAAAACAGACACACACACCCCCTCACACAATTGCCTTCCCAGAGCTGTACAAACATTCTTCACAAAAAGCATAGCTGCCACATACAGGTTTATGTGAAAAGAAAATAAAGCATTATTCCCTGTGCCACGTAATAAATAAAACATTTTATCCTGGGTATAAAATCCTGCATCCATAGCAACCACAAGCAAAACTCCCACGGCTGTCAACAAGATACATATTATGTATTTCATCTCTTAGAGAAGGCAATTCTCCTATTGACCTTTAGCTTCTTAGGGAGCAAAAAGAGATCTCTAAGCCAGTGCTTGTAGCTAGCTCACCACTCTGCTCCACAATGCACTGGAGACCAAAGTAGATAAGACATATTCTAGCAGGAAGAGCAGCTAGCGACTGCACGGTGTTTTTAAAAAGTAAATAACAGCCATAGGGGGCCCAATCCAGAGAGGGAGCCAGGGTGGAGGGGTGCCGTGACTCTAACATTTAGGTCCTGCTGGATGCTGACCAGGATTAGATTGCTTCTGTCAGCCCTGCTATTTGCTTGGAAAGGAAATAATAGGACTGACAGAGACAATCCAGTCTCTGATGTCCAAAGTTAATGGATCCCTGAAGAATCATAGAACTGTAAGTTGAAAAGACCCCGTGGGCCATGAGTCTAATCCCCTGCCAAGGCAGGAAATCTATAGCTAAAGCACCTCTGGAGAAGCAATTGAGCCTGGATAAAAAAGCAGGATGTCATTAGTTTCTAGATGGCAACATGATATCCAGGACAGAAACCAGCATTGGCTTCTTCTGTTTTTACTTCCTGTTGCTAATTTGTGAAAAAGAAAAAAAGAAAGCTGTTGCGACGTGCTTCCTAGAAATCACAGTTCTTTGGGAGGAGCCCTCCACAGAGACAAACCGGCAGAGAGATTATGACTCCCAGTGTCCTCTGAGGTCATGAAGTTATCCACCCCAAAGGTAACACTGCTGACCAGCAGCGCTCTGGCCCTCCTCACCGTGGAAGATGTTGGAGTTGTAGTCTTGCTGTGCTTTAGGCTCTGTAGAGGGCTCCTCCCAAAGACCCATGACACAGTGAAGTCAACATATTTCCACTCCTTGTGGGTTTAATTTGAGTGCCTGGAGAGGCCCGTCGTTTTAGAGAT